TTGGTGACCCCCGTGAAATGGTCATTCGACCCCAAATGGGGTCCCCACCCACAGGTTGAGAACTACTGGTCTAAGTGCTATTGCTGTTGCTAAATAGAAATGGGGGTCATTAAACTATAGATAAGATGATAAGATAAGATAACCTTTATTATCATTTTTTATTTTATTATTTTATTTATTGTCATATAAGGGCTGCATTTTGACTTGGGAAGCCACATATTTATATTTTTTATTAATACATTAAAATCAGGTAGGAATTAGACATAACTACTACATAGAAAATATATTTTTACAAATTTGACTTTGTTTTCAATGTTTGCGTATGGAGAAAATCTATATGGTTGCTAGTTATCAAATTTTAATGGTACAGTTTGTGTCTGTGTGTGTTTGTGCGTGCATGCGTATTTCCAAATTCCACTCTGACCCTCTCCTGACCTACTGCCAAATTATTGCACATATCTCTGTGCAATGTTCCCTCTAATTTCTGATATACCATACGCAGGAAATAATTGTTTTCTGAGCTTTTCCCAAACCAAGTATTGCACATACTTGAAGAGCCATGGTGGTGCAGTGATTAGAATGCAGTATTTCAGGCTACTTCTGCTGGTTGCCAGCAGTTCGGCAGTTCGATTCTCACCGAGTCAAGGTTGACTCAGCCTCCCATCCTTCCGAGGTCGGTAAAATGAGGACCCAGATTGTTGGGGACAATAGGCTGACTCTGTAAACCGCTTAGAGAGGGCTATAAAGCACTGTGAAGCGGTATATAAATCTAAGTGCTATTGCTATCTCAATATGAGACTGAGTAAATTGTAGATATTTGTAACAGACATGTTAAAATGAAAACTTAATAGTATGTCATATTTTCACTTGAAAGTTGTGTGCCTCTGTTGTTTTGGATTCCTGGCAGCTTTTCCCTGCACTTCTCTTAGCAGTCTTTTTCAGAAGTGATTTGGCAGTTCTTCTCTTCCTAGGAATGAGACTGCCCCAAGATCACCCAGCTGGCATTGTACTAAATGCAGGACTAGTACTATCTACTTCTTGTCTGATACTTCAACCACTAATATCAAACTGGCTCTGTGCATATGAGGTTACAAATGATAACATAACCTTTAGTCCAGTGGTTCTCAACCTGTGGGTCGGGACCCCATTTGGGGTCGAACGACCATTTCATGGGGGTCGCCAAACAACGAAGTCCGCCATTTTTTCCCCCTTTTCCTTAGCTGTGCTACTCCCTTTTATTCTATTGGCTTTTGAAAGCCAATAGAATAGACTCTCTTGAATAGAGTCTAATTCTATTGGCTTTCAAAAGCCAATAGGAATTGTCCAGGCTGTCTCTGCCCTGCTGAGCCCGCCAAAAGTCCCATTCTGCAAACGATGCTGCACCAGTTGAGTAGTCCTCAACTTACGACCGGTTGAGTAGTTCTTGACTTACGACCGGTTGGGGGTCGCGGCATTAAAAAGGTTGAGAACCACTGCTCTAGTCACTTACTAGCCTCCAGAAATGGTGAATGCTCCAACACTGGAAGTGTTTAAGAAGAGACTGGACAGCCATCTGTTCGAAATAGTGTAGGGTTTCCTGCCTGAGCAGGGGGTTGGACTCGATGACCTCCAAGGTCCCTTCCAACTATTATTATTATTATTATTATTATTATTATTATTATTATTATGGATCATCGCACAGTCAGCCAGATGTTCAGACTGGATTTGGCATTTTGTCTGCCTATCGAGTCCTTACCCAGGACCTGGGATAGGCAGATGTGGATGGTATTACAGATATCGTCGTAGGATAGAAGCAGTTCCTAGTAAGGCCGCCTTTTGCAATTGACTAATAGCGAATTTGTCAATGCCAGTGGTGTTCAAGTAGTGCTCCAGTTGTTTTGGGATTGCACCCAAGGAGCCTATTACTATTGGTACTACCCTTGCCACAGTCTTTCTATTTCTATTTGTAGGTCTTTGTATTTTGTTATCTTCTCCAGTTCTTTCTCGTCTATTCTGCTGTCTCCAGGCACTGCCACGTCCACTATCCAGACTTTTTTGTCTTTATTATCGACAATTGTTAAGTCTGGGGTGTTATGTTGCAGGTGCTTGTCTGTTTGAATTCTGAAGTCCCAGAGCAGTTTAATTTTATCATTTTCTATGACTTTCTCTATTTTATGATCCCACCATTTTTTGCTTACAGGCAAATATTATTATTATTATTATTATTATTATTATTACTTTTTGCCATTGCTGGCAATGGGGTGGGTGCAGTTTTGCTATGATGTATCCGGCCCACGGGCCATCAGTTTGACACCCTGGCTTAATTGCACCAGCAGGGTCACTTGGTGCTACTGTAGTCTAGTGCTCCTATTCAGTTCACAACATGGCAGTGCTAAGCAGTCCTCACTGTTGCAGTTAAAGCAAGGTGATGAACTTTGGTAGGATTCCTCACAAATCATGAGCCTGGGATTTTATGTTAGTTGGTGATTAAATGTATTATTTATTTTTACAATTTAATAGATATGTTTTATTTTATTTTATTCTGTTCAATATTTCCCAATTGCATTTTAGTCTGGTTTCAGCCTCACTCAGGAGTATTGTGGCTGCAAGAGGTCCATGGAATCATATTCTTTACACCTTTGATATAGAGGATCCACATGTCTGTTTTTTCAGAACAGTACAAGAGTTCTAGCCTTTGTTGGACTTTTATTTTTTCAGCTATAGTCAAATTATTCTCCAGAATCTTAAGGCAGTATATCCCAAACCTTTGAGTAAAATGATTAAACTCTGCGTGTGAAATTAAACCTCTAATGAATTTTGACACTGAGTAAAAATAAGTGCTATATTGCCATGCTGGTTATCATATAAATTAACGTTTTAAATGCTTATTTGAAAGAAATAAGAAATTTCTATTTCATTATATTTCTATTTCACTGCAGAATATTGTGTAATATTAAGAATATTTATTCTATTCGAGAACATACAGAAGTTATAATACTGTCTCTATTCAAAGGGTTTAGTGAGGTCTCTAAATGTATATAGGATTATAATTTTTATTACTGATTTTTTACATTTAAGATCAAATAATTTGTGCATTTTTGAATAGAAATGAAAGATTGTTGCAGAAAATTTGCAAAAACTTAATGTTAAGAATTTCAAGAATATTAAATAAAATTATTGGCTTATTTATTATACTTCATTTATGATAATGTTATATTCAAAAGTAGAAAGTACAGGGATTCTTGAGTTATTACCATTCGCTCCGTGACCATTGAAATTATGACAGTATTGACCAAAAGAACTTACAACTTTGCCCAAAGTCATAGCCATTGAAGCACCTCATGGTCTCATGATAACATTTTGGCAGCTCGCCCACACTTACATTAATTCATTCCATCTGCCTATCTCACCCCTTGAACTAGCCTACCTGGGGCATTTGAGGCTTTCATGGACTGCTGTGACTTTGTACTACAATGCAGTACCACCCCGATCTTGCACATGGCCTGCACCAGGCCTTCTGGGGCCTCCCCCACCCTCTAAAGCACCTTCATGCTCCTTACTTAGAATTCCATCTGTTTAATGACAACAACCAGGACTTGCAGTTATTGAGTGAAGTGGTCATGAGACATCTCTTTTAACATCTGCGTTGTTCAATGACTGATACTCTAGTTCCAGTTGTGAGGGATCGTGGGTTATTACCAATGAAAACAGTATATAGTAGTGTTTTTACTTATTGTGTTGAACTGAGCTTTCAGAGATCCTTTATTTTTTTTTTCCTATGCAACTCTGAAATATACATTGATTAGAATTCCGTATCATGATGCTGCTACAGGTCAGCATTATATTCTGTCAGGTTCAGTGTTCCCAGCTTCCCCTGTTTGAAGCATTACAAATAAATTCTGGTACTATATAAGAATATATTCTTGCTTTGACTTCTTTTGTATTTGCATATAAACAGGATATGATATAAGTAAGCAAAAGATTTATGTATATTGTGAAAATATATGTACAATTTGGTTTTTTTTTTTCCTCTTGGAAGTTTCCTTCACAACCAGAAAAATACCGCTTCTAAATTTTCACAACTATTTTTTAGTTCTGAATGTAACGTTTGCCAGAATTCTTTCAAAATGACACAATTGTACATACATTTATTTTTCCTCTACTAAAAAGCTTGAACAAAATTGCCTACTTTTTAATTTTAAAGGGTAATGGTTTATATTCTTAGAAGATTTCTTCTAAAAAAATATAAAATGCACATTTTTGTTTCTAGGTGCCTGCCTTGCTTTTTTCAACTTGTAAAGATCTATCTATCGAAAGGCAATATGTCGTACATCATATTGGTAGCATTAATCTGCTTAAAAATAGCAAATAAATAATTGTTCCTGTACCTAAGCTATCAGAATATTGAGAGAAAGGTCATGTTTAATGGTGGATCTGGGAAGTATTTCCGAACAGGATGGGGACAGAATTTAATAATTCTACCTTCTGTGTCATTAAAATTTGACAAATGGGAGAAACTTTTATGTAAGAGTCAGTATTATATAGTGCTTGAGGTATCAGGCTAGAAAGTAGAAGACCAAGAATTCTTGACCTTCCTTAGGCATATAGCCACCTGGGTGACCTTGGGCCGGTTACACTCTGTGAGTCCTAGAAGTGGGTAATGGCAAACCACTTCTGAAATCTTCCCAAGGAAATTGCAAGGACTTGTCCAGGCAGTTGCACACACCCACACAAAAGAAAGCTTTATGGAGACTTTGGGACTTTATCCAAGACATGGAGGTATACATTGTGCATTCTTGCTTTATACCTTAATTAGCTAACTGCATGCGATTTTTCACTGGCAATGTTTTGTAATTATAATGAAGAACTTCAGAATTAAAATGTTTTTGATTAACAGAGTGTATGTAATGTATTTGTAAGTATTATGGCATGTTTGTAAAATTGATTTTTTATATCTTTAGAATATCTTGGCAAGACATAAATTAATGGCATTAATATTACCTTTTCTTTTCTATATCTAGCTATGTAGGAAATCTTTCCAGAGATGTGACCGAAGTCCTTATACTTCAATTATTCAGCCAAATTGGACCTTGCAAAAGCTGTAAAATGATAACAGAGGTAATATGTTCTCACAATCTAATTTATATGAGATATCTTAACATTTCACATAAAAGCAGTTATTAATTCTGCTTTTTTAAAAAACATCAAGATTGCAATACGAAATAAGAGTTTAATTTAGGAGGACTCCTATGCTAGCATTGACTAGGATTGTTGCCTTAGTTAATTGATTTAACTGACAAATTTTGATTAACTAGAAAAAGGTTTCTTGTATATAATATATGCTTATTGATTCCTCTTGGCACCAGAAAGATTGCTTCTGTCTCTTGTAAAATATATGCTTAGATTAACTACAACTATACTCTTTCAAATGAAGGCAGGAAGGAATATTCTCTACAAGATAATTCAGGCTGTATACGTTATTTAGAGCAGGGCTTTTCAACCAGTGGTACAGGTACCACCTATGGTACATTGGCACCTGGCAGGTGGTATGCGACCATCCCAGAAAAGTGGTAGCAGGGGAGGGGAATGAGCTGAACCAGTGGCAGCACTGCACAAGCATGGGCGAGAGATGGCTGGAGCTGCAGGGCTGTCAGGGCTCAGCGGAAGCGCCAGGATCAGTGCCGCTTTCCAGCTGATCGGCGCTTCTTTGGGGCTGTCAGGGCTCAGTGGAAATGCCAGGATCAGCGCCAAGCTCCAGCTGGAGCTAAGCACTGATCCTGGTGCTTCTGCTGAGCCCTGAAGAAGCGCTGATCAGCTGGAAAGCAGCACTGATCCTGGCACTTCTGCTGAGGCCAGAAGAAGCGCCGATCAGCTGGAATGTTGCAGCATCTCCAGGGTCTTGTGATTTACATTCAGATGCTTGGCAACTGATTCATATTTATGACGGTCACAGTGTCCCAGGGTCATGTGAAGTGACCAAAACCTGCTTCAACCACCCAGCAGACGGGGGGAATAAAAACCAACCCACCCCATCCCTGCTGCCAATCCTCAACAGAAATGCTCACAACAATGAAAACCTTGGACAGGAGAAAGAGCGCCGCCGGGCAGGAAGGCAGGTGTCTTGCTCAGTTGTGGCTTGGGGGGGGCACTTTTTTCAGGGCCATTGTAACTTTGAACAGTCACTAAGTGAACTGTTGTAAATCGAGGACTACCTGTACTTTATCACTTTTTTTCCTTTTTTTTTTTTTTTTGGTCATCAAGTTTTTGACACTTTGCTAGGCGACTGATGGTACTCGGATACTGCCATATCCTAAAAGTGGTTGTTGTTGTTAATTGCGAAGTCGTATCCGACCCATCGTGACCCCATGGACAACGTTCCTCCAGCTCTTCCTGTCCTCTACCATCTTCTGGAGTCCATTTAAGTTCACACCTACTGCTTCAGTGACTGCATCCAGTCATCTCATTCTATGTCGTCCCCTTCTATTGCCCTCAATCTTTCCCAGCATTAGGCCCTTCTCCAGTGAGTCCTTCCTTCTCATTAGGTGGCCAAAGTATTTGAGTTTCAACTTCAGGATCTGGCCTTCTAAAAAGCAGCCGGGGTTGATCTCTTCTAGGACTGACCGGTTTGAACGCCTTGCAGTCCAAGGGATTCGCAGGAGTCTTCTCCAGCACCATAGTTCAAAGGCCTCAATTCTTTGGCGCTCAGCCTTTCTTATGGTCCAACTTTCACAGCCATACATTGCAACTGGGAAAACCATGGCCTGGACTATACGCACTTTTGTTGGCAGGGTGATGTCTCTGCTTTTTAGTATGCTGTCTAGATTTGCCATAGCTTTCCTCCCCAGGAGCAAGCGTCTTTTAATTTCTTGGCTGCAGTCCCCATCTGAGGTGATCTTGGAGCCCAGAAAAATAAAATCTGTCACTACCTCCATTTCTTCCCCATCTATTTGCCAGGAATTGAGAGGGCCGGATGCCATGATTTTGGTTTTCTTAATGTTGAGTTTCAAGCCAACTTTTGCACTCTCCTTCTTCACCCGCATCAAGAGGCTCTTTAGTTCCTCTTCACTTTCTGCCATTAGAGTGGTATCATCTGCATATCTTAGGTTGTTGATATTTCTCCCAGCAATCTTAATTCCAACTTTTGATTCATCTAGCCCTGCCTTTCTCATGATGTGCTCTGCATATAAGTTAAATAGGCAGGGCGACAGTATACAGCCTTGCCGGACTCCTTTTCCAATTTTGAACCAATCAGTGGTTCCGTGTCCAGTTCTCACTGTTGCTTCTTGACCCGCATATAGGTTTCTCAAGAGACAAATAAGATGGTCTGGTATTCCCATCTCTTTAAGAACTTGCCACAATTTGTTGTGATCCGCCCAATCAAAGGCTATAGCATAGTCAATGAAGCAGAAGTAGATGTTTTTCTGGAACTCCCTAGCTTTCTCCATGATCCAGCGTATGTTGGCAATTTGATCTCTAGTTCCTCTGCCTCTTCGAAATCCTGCCTGTACTTCTGGTAGCCTAAAAGTGGTACAATGGGTGAAAAGGTTGAAAAGCCCTGATTTAGAGATTATCTCGATGGTAACTTTTTCCTACTTTGTGACAGAAAAAGGATAAAGAATCTAAGCAATTTCTTATTAGGGACTACTATGAATATTAGTCATTACAAAGAAAAACAGTTGGTTGCAATTATGGTTTTTAGGTATCTTTATTTGAATAATTTTTACTTTGTTAATAGTTTCAGATGAACATCACAATAAAAACATGTTTTATTAGTATTTAGCTTTGCTTTTCTGCAGTCCCATGCATGACCAAAATGTTTCTTTTTAGAGAGGATAGAACTTCAAAAACAGAGAACCAATATTGTGTATTGGACTATTGAAATTTACCTGACTGGGATTTATTTAGTAATTTTCAACAAGTTGTATTTTTCTTTATTAAAAGGAATTTTTTATTTTAATGTTACCAAAAGGCTAGAATATGGATTTTGAAGTCCTATGTATATAAGTCCTGTGTATGTTATATATACATAAATGATAGAAATTAGTATTTACGATCTACCATTTTCTTTCCTTTTTTATTAAATTGAGATTTTGTGGGAATATATAGTCGTTTGAAATTAGATTCTTTTTAAGTGCTAAGAAACTAGGAGTATAAAACCTAGAAGCTGCATAATATTCCTCCTTTTTTATTTTAATAGTTCCAGGGAAGAGATTTATTCAAGTACTGGAACTTTTTTAATCCTGGAGGATTATTTGTAAATGTGTTGAAATTACAACAGACACAGTCCAATAATATTACTTGCAATTTTGAAAATAATCATCTTGATCAACTTTTACTAGTTTATAGCCATTGGCTGGCTCTCATACCATCTGAAATCATGTTCATTTTTAGCTAAGTGTGATGTCTTTAACTTTTACCACAGTTTTCTCAATATTGATAACAATCTGTCTTGCATACATGGTAAAATCAAAGGAAATATATTTCTGATCTTAATTCCAAATTCATATTCTGATTTTTTTGATTGCAGTTTCAAAGGGATCCTTATATATTATCAATAAAACAGAATGGCACAATAGATAGTTCATTAGAAATTTAGACCAAAATATTTTTGTTGGTACATGAATAGTGTTCTTCCCCAGATTACTGAACATTGTTATATGTAACTGGTAATATTTAGTTTGCATTTTATTATTTATTTATTTATTAAATGTAATATATCTATATATATAAAACTTGATTTATTAAAATATGAAGCTAAAATCAAATAATTTTAAATGATTTACTGCATTTTGCTGTAATTTTCTAACCTACATTCTTGCTTTTAATGCCTTGTGAAATCTGAAAAGATCACACACAAATCTGGGCTTTGAAATTGGTAAGTACATGGAGCTGAACATGTTTGCAAAGGAAATAGCTCCAGTTATCATCAAGCCCTTTTTTCCTTCAAACCTTACTTAATTCTATTTGTAAAATTTACAGGAACGAATGAACCATTTCAGAAGCATACATGTGTGTAACCTAACATAGTAAATGTAATCTTATTCCAAGTGTCTTTTGGATCCAGTTTGATAGAAGCTAGCAGCATTAGTTTTGACATGTTCAGAGGTTAATTTTGTTGATAATTCCAGTTAGGACGTCAGCCTGCAGTTAAACTTCTTGATTCTGAGTCTGTAATCCATCATGTCATCTAAACAGTGTGATGAATTTTCAAGAAATGCTGTTTTGAATTGAACCTGCACTTTAATACTTGATGGCCTCTGGATGTAATTTTATGGATGCTATAATTTGAGATATTGTTTTGGCAGAACAGACAACAATTCTTACAGCTACTTTATAAACACTTATAATAATATTTTTTTCTAGCTTTAAATAATATATTTTCCTGGATTTTCTTCTCAGCAACCCGATAGCAGAAGAGTCAACTCTTCTGTTGGATTTTCTGTTTTGCAGCATACAAGCAATGACCCTTATTGCTTTGTGGAATTTTATGAACACAGGGATGCAGCTGCTGCATTAGCTGCTATGAATGGGAGAAAAATTTTGGGAAAGGTACGTTGCAAAAGAAAAAAGAATGACATGTAGCAAATTAAGTAAATAGGTTATTTCATGGCAAGGATTTTTGTCCCGGTTTTTAATTAGAAATACCTTGAAACAATGTTTCTATAAAGAGAAACACTCACTTTGTTGGAATTGAGCCTGTACAACCTCTTCACTGACATAAAAATTATGCCAGTAATGATATTTTTTTCATTATTTTTAGGAAGTAAAAGTTAACTGGGCAACAACACCAAGTAGTCAAAAAAAAGATACTTCAAGTAAGTAATATGTTCTGAAGCAACACTACAAGTAAGTCATGTATTCAGTTGAATTGCATTCATTGCTTTACTTTGGCAGTATAAGAAAGCTAAAGTTTTTCCATTTATATTTTTTTCCTCCAGATCATTTTCATGTATTTGTGGGAGATTTAAGTCCAGAAATAACAACAGAAGATATTAAGTCAGCATTTGCTCCTTTTGGTAAAATATCGTAAGTACCGTACTTTTACCTTAAATCATTAACACAAACAGAATCAAAAAACAAGACTGTTCTTCTCTTAAGTCACTATCGCTTATTAGCATAGAATTGTTTACATAATGGCATATGAATGGTGTAGAATTATCTTCTCCTTCTATTGCATTATATTATTCCACCTAAATATGAATAAGGTTTCTGCATCAGTTCTGTTAAAAGCTATGTGCTTTTCACACTTGCAAATCCATATGCATTTTTATGGGCTGGGATGTGTTGTGGGCAAATGAAACCTGTTGATTCTTGTGGCTTATAGAGCATTGTCTGATAGAAGCTGGAAATGTCTGATAGTTATATACAATAGGTAGTATTGGACTGTGTCTAAGTTAACATAGCCAGTTGTAAAACTTCATTGATTGCATTTTTGAAATGTAGCACTACATTTAGGATTTTTAAATTTGAAATTAAAATTCGTATCTTTAGATAAACTTTTAAATAAAGAAGTTTTGTTTTAATGATACATTAATTATGACAATCAAGGGTATCTTTCTCTGTTGACAATAGAACATTGGGACTAAATTTCCAAATATCTATAGCTTTGCAAATGAACATTTTAAACTTTGCAAGTGTTCCTTCAGGTGCTATAGTATGTGTGTTTCTTTTGTTATTTAATCTAGTTTCTTGAAAAATTTTCTATTGTTTTCTTTGTCTTTTTAACAACATCAGAACAAACCCTGAACATCTTGTGTTACTTTACAGGAATATATTTCTGCTATAAAGCATATTTTCTCTATGTTTTCTCATATTTTCAAATGCAACAAAGTCTTATTTTGTCTGTTTGATTTACTTTGCTTTTTATTTCAATGCGGTAAGTACTGGTACTGTTTGCAAGCCAATTTTAAAAGATTTAATACAGGTTGCTATTTCTCAATCTTGATTTATACCTGAGACCTGCAGTTTTTCTAAAGTCCAAGTCACAATTAAAAGTAATAGCATTCTGATTATTTTGCAGAATTGCTCATAAGAATGGACAGGATCTTGAAGCTAACTGCAAGGAACTGTGCACACTGGAACTCAGTTGTAGATTTTTTTTCTCATTTCTATTTATTCTTATTATACATTATTTATATATACATATCTTAGTATTTACATTTTAACATTCTATATTCAGTGCAGTTCTATATTTCCAATCATTTTAACTTACTCACTAAAAATTATGTGTAAAATTTGTTGTCTTCATATTGGTGAACTTAGCATTGTTGTTAGTTATATTCTCCTTTCTTAAATTTCTGAAAATGTCAATTTTTCAAAATTTACAGCTGCCCAAACTCCAAAATGATGGTAGAGAATTGACCAAGAAAAATAAAGAAATCTGTTAACAGGCCATGTATGCCTTTTAATTCCTATTTTTTTCCTCTTTTTCAATTTTTTAATATTTCATATTTTATATCACTAGGCAGAGGGCATTTATTTAGAAAATGCATGGTAAACCTAGTTAGAAATGTTACAGTAATTTATAGTTCAGTAAACCTTAGAAGACCCTAGTCAGTAGATAATTAGAAAAGGAAATTCTGTTCCTTTTAAAATTTCAAATTTGAACAATTTGTAGAAAGTGCAGGATATATGAATAGGTTGCATGTTTATTACATGTTATTTTTTATTTTTGTCCTACTGCTTTTTTCTAACAGGTAAAGAAGTATTAGGCAGAATTAGGAATGGTTATAGTTAGGGATTACTGAGTTTATAATAGGGAAAACTATGCTCACAATACAGTGTGTGTGGTTCCTTTTAGTTTTTATTTTGAATATCTATAATATTTCCTCATATAACTGTGCTTCTCTTCCCAGGGATGCACGAGTAGTTAAAGATATGACAACAGGAAAATCAAAAGGATATGGTTTTGTATCATTTTATAATAAATTGGTGAGTATATTGAATAATATAAATCATTGCTTCATATTTTGTGAGCCTAATTTATGAAGGATGCAATACAAGCAGGCAGACATTTCTAGCATGCTAGTGCATAGCCTATTTTTATAACCCGTTGGTTATGTGAAAGGCAGAAATTTTTATAACTTAATTATGAGGTTGAGTAATGTTATATTGATCCTTTAGACAAGAGACAGAAATATATGCCAATTTTTAATCTTACTAGTAATTGAGTACAGATATATTTTGCAGGGCAGTTACTTCCTATGGAAATAAGGAGACTGTGTTGGGATATACATGATATATTGTCAGTCTCTACCTAAAAGTGTCCTAAACATATTGAGTTCTCCAAATGTGAGGTGGAATATTAGTGGCCTTCCAGATGTTGCTGAACTAGAATTCTCAGAAGCCCAACTAATATGGCCAATGGTGAAAACTATTGGAAACTCAAATTCAGCAGCATCTGGAAGCCACAGCCCCTATCTTCTTCATTCAGTGTAAGTATTAATTCCCTTACATTAATTTTCCAGAAAAGCTATTAGTACCTAAATTGGTTATTTTTATATTTTCTGAGCAAAACACAAAGGAATAAAACAGAATGTATATTTTAATTCTCTTATTTCTAATTTATGACTCATTTTTGTCCATGTGGTTTTTTTAAAAAATTAGGATGCAGAAAATGCAATTGTGCACATGGGAGGCCAGTGGTTAGGAGGTCGTCAGATCAGAACTAACTGGGCAACACGAAAGCCACCTGCTCCTAAAAGTACACAAGAAAGTAAGTGAATTTGGGCAAAAATGAAATTCCATTTTTAATTATATTAACAGAGTGATTTATAATAGATTACTTCTGTCTATATAAATTTTTGACAGCAATATTGAATATGGATATTTAATATTTTGCATCTTTTCTTGATATTACAAATGTATGTACAGTTCCATAGTTTTTGTAATATTTGCTTTTGTGCATATAATTTTTCAGGGTTTGTTTATATGCTGTTCTATCTTATTTTTGTGAGTTTGGGCAGGTAACCAGAAATTGAAACTTGGAAACAATTAAAAAATTGCAACCATATTTACCATATGTTGATGGACAGCCTCATCCAGCAGCTTCATGTATATGGCAGATAGGAGCAAGAGGCATCTTGCAAAGTAAAAGTGCTGCTTGATCTCTCTGCCCCCCTCGACTCACATGCACACTGATTGGAACCAGTTCAGAAGAAAGGGAACCACTATAATTCTATGCCTTCTACTCTCAGTCCTGGGGCTGTTCAGAAATGTATTAAAAGGTGCTGAGAGATCAAGGAAGGCCAGAATGTATTTACAGCCTAGTATTACCAACAGGTGTGATCAGTGCTATCTCACTGCTATAACCAGATCTGAATGCCAGCTAAAAAAGTCCAAATAATCCATTTCTTCCAGAGGTCTCTGAACTGCAAGCTGGTCATCTTTTCAGTGACCTTCCCTAAAGAAGGAAAGATGGAGGCTGGATAAAAATATTGTCCAGTTCTTTTGGGTCTAATATCTTCTTGAGAGAATGGGCAACTTCTTTCACAATAGGTGTAAACCACTCTTGCATTAACTACTGCTGGGATTCAACTGCCTCACTTTCTGGAGACTTTGACCAAGTAGATGAACTATGAATCAAAAATACAGATAGCCCAGCTTACAGCTTTGAGGACTCAGACCATTTCATCAGAATTAAGACATTCAAACTACTCTCAGATAACTAGGCAAGACTATCTTCAAGCAGCTCTAAGATTTGTATACCTAGAGGCCAAGCAAAACCAAGCAACCAACCAATCTGGCAGGTGCCTAGAATAGTTTTCATAGTGATCCTGCAAATATTCCCTTTGTTCTTCCTTAACAAAGAGGAACTGGCTCACCTTAAATACAGCTGTCAGTCAGTCCATCTACATGACAAGGGCACTTCCCTTCCCAATATTTTGCCATCCTTATTGCCAGGAGATAATTTGAAAAGTGTTGAGTTTAGGGCCTTTCCAGTTTACAAATATAGTAGACTGTGATATTGTGACATATTGTATGTTCATTAAATGCAAATAACAGAAAAAAAGTTATATCTTGCAGACAACACAAAACAACTGAGATTTGAGGATGTAGTAAATCAGTCAAGCCCCAAAAACTGTACTGTCTATTGTGGAGGAATTGCCTCTGGATTAACAGGTGGGAGTCACATTCATCTTTGCAAAGTTTTTAGTGAACTACTGAATACTCACATGACTAACACAGATCTTAATGTTTTTAGATCAGTTGATGAGACAGACATTCTCCCCTTTTGGGCAAATTGTGGAAACCAGAGCTTTTCCAGTTAAAGGCTATTCTTTTGTGAGGTAGGAGAATTATCATTATGTGCTCTGAACTTAACATAGTACCATGTTGGCAACAAGCAAACATCTAACTATATTTTAGCTATCACTTTTGATCATAATTGTACCTCTATAATGTAGTCTTTGATTTATGACCATAATTGAGACCAGAATGTTGCTTCCTGAGTGAAGCAGACATTAAGCAAGATGTCATGTGACCACTCAACTACTGCAATGCTAGGTCCTCTGGTTGCAGTGGTAAGTAACCTCATGGGTTGTTAAGCAGACATAATCTAAGGTAAGGAGCATGGGTTTATTAGAGCAGGGCTTTTCAACCTTTTCACCCATTGTTCCACATTTAGGATATGGCAACATCCGAGTACCACCAGGCGCCTAGAAAGGTGTCAAAAACTTGACCCCCCAAAAAGGGAAAAAAGTGATAAAGTACAAGTAGTCCTCGACTTACAACAGTTCGCTTAGTGACTGTTTGAAGTTACAATGGCACTGAAAAAAGTACCTCCAAGCCACAGCTGAGCAAGACACCTGCCTGCCCATCCAGTGGCGCTCTTCCTCCTGTCCGAGGTTTTCATTGTTGTGAGCATTTCTGTTGAGGATTGGCAGTGGGGGTGGGGTGGGGGAGTGTTTGGTTTTTATACCCCCCCCCCCCGGCTGCTGGGTGGTTGCAGCAGGTTTTGGTCACTTCACATGACACTGTGACCGTCATAAATATGAATCAGTTGCCAAGCATCTGAATATAAATCACAAGACCCCGGAGATGCTGCAACATTTCAGCTGATCGGCGCTTCTTCAGGGCTCAGCAGAAGTGCCAGGATCAGTGCTGCTTTCTAGCTGATCGGCGCTTCTGGGCTCAACAGAAGCACCAGGATCAGCGCTGAGCTCCAGCTGGAGCCTGGCACTGATCCTGGCGCTTCCACTGAGCCCCGACAGCCCCGAAGAAGCGGTGATCAGCTGGAAAGCGGCACTGATCCTGGCGCTTCCACTGAGCCCTGCAGCTCCAGCCATCTCTCGCTCAGGCTTGTGCAGTGCTGCCACTGGTTCAGTTCATTCCCCTCCCCTGCTACCACTTTTCTAGGATGGTCGCGTACCACCTGCCAGGTGCCAATGTACCGCAGGTTGTACCCGTACCACTGGTTGAAAAGCCCTGTATTAGAGGGATAGGGAAGGCTTCACACAATATGGAGAATGACATTTCTAAATTATCATGAGTATGGAGCCTGCTTGGACAGTGGCATGAGGAGACCTCAGTAGGAAAGCCAAACCTTCAGCACTGGAGAAAAACTAAAGGGGTAAATGGGATCCTTGCATGCACTGGTGGAGTAGGAAGCAGGCTGAAGCCTCCTGGGCCTGGTGAGCAAAGGCCGAGATTCCTGGCCATGGTTAGCCAGGGACCAGTTGAAGTCCTACAGGCCATGGCAGTTTGATATGGAGGGAGATACAGGCAGACAAGGACATTTGCAGGACCCCTGTGGTCATAAATGTGCACGGACTGCGAAGCACCTTAATTTTCAGCATGTGACCCTAAGGGCATTGCAACAGCCATAGCTTTGGGCATATGTTGCAAATCCTTTTGTTCAGGACTGATGTAATTTTGAACAATCACTGAACAAATGATGTAAGTCAAGAACTACCTGTAACATCAATAATTATGTCAGGTTTCTTGATGTTGTGGGTGGGTGTGCGTGTCTGTGCTCCAGTAAGTTTGCATCTTTGTAGGATATAAGCTTAAGTCCAGGAAGTCTCCCATTTTGTTCATCTGTAAACCATATTTTTGTAAAATATTTACGAAAGGAAATACAGAAAATATTATCCAATATCATGTATGTTAAAAAGAAATGGAGCCTTAAAATTATGGAATTATATTAAGAAGTTATCGAAGTAAATGGCATACCTAATTATTTTTAAAAAAATTTAAATACATTGGTTCCTTAAAGACTGAACTTAATCTCACTGGATGATTACCCGTAGATAACTATGTACATTGAAGCAATTGACTCCTTCACTATTGAAATATACTTGGTATATTCTTTAAGAAAATACTTGTTGCTGTTAAGTTCCATAATGGTACATATATATCGGGTTTAGTGATAGGCTGATAGCCTTTTACTATACTGTATCTTCTGATACAGTAAACTATTGATAAATGAATTATTTCATTCTTGTTAAATCAGTCCTACAGGGTTAGAGCAGGATAATATAGTAACATTTTACTTCATGCCATTTTTTTGGCCTCAGGTTTTCAACTCACGAAAGTGCAGCACATGCGATTGTTTCAGTCAATGGAACTACAATTGAAGGGCATGTTGTTAAATGCTATTGGGGCAAAGAAACACCGGATACAACAAAAGACTTCCAGCAGGTAATTGGTAGACTAGCATTAAAGTGTTGTATTTCTATACCCTCTGTGTTCAAAATCAGTGAAATCGGTGCATGGAATCTTATACATTAAAATCCCACATGGAATTTAACTTTAGACATTGAATGTTACTTTTGGCTTTTTCTCCATTTTTCTCATAAGCATATATTGATTTTTTATTTTTTTGTTTATCTAAAATAATGATTTAAGGTGGAGTACAGTCAATGGGGACAGTGGAGTCAGGTTTATGGGAATCCACAGCAATATGGGCAATATGTGACAAATGGATGGCAAGTGCCATCTTATGGAATGTATGGTCAAGCATGGAATCAACAAGGCTTTGGCATTGAGTAAGTACTTCTGTTCAGAAATTGATACTTGCATATGTAATTTTCCTCTGATATGAACTCTGATATTTGCTTGTGCATCACTAAGACAAATGTTTTTGTTTCTAAAGTAGTGGTTTGTTATTTTTTGTTTTTAAAGTAATAGAAAAAGCAAAAGAAACAAAACACAAAGATAATATACATTATAAAAATACATAAATGCTTAAAATAAGTGAAAAATAGAGAATATGCTGCAAGAACAATAAAGTTACAATTCTATATAATTAATATAGTCATACAGAGAGAGAGATGAATCTTATGCTTTTTTTAAGGTAATATACTTTGTATAAATCAGTTCCATATTTCTTTATAAATGTGTATATATTATACAAAGTTTACATCTATAGGCAATCTACTCATAGGTAGCAAGTGTAATCAGACCTTCAATCTACTGAGTACATGGAGCGATACATTTATCTTTCCAAGATGCAATATCAGTCTTTTAATTATAAAAAGGGACACAGAAAATCCATTTATGTTATCCAGTTATCAAATTTCATGTACTAAGTATGTAAGTCAAGAAAATATCCCTGAAAATTTTAGCTTTTGTTACAGTCACATTTATTTAGTTCATTACTTTCTCCCAAACTTTAATAATTAAAAAACTGTAAAAATGTCTAAATTTTACATTATAAAAATTTAAAGAAGCATTGGTCTTGTTAATCTCCAACAAAATACAGTTCTATACAAATGCAATAGATAAATTCAAAATATTAGTTTTCATTATATAAATTGTAGGTTAAGGTCCACCGCCACTCTAGATAAAGAAGTTAAGACAATAATTGTCTAGGCCAGGCATGTCAAACTGCCGGCCTGTGGGCCGGATATGTCACACCAAAACCATGCCCACCTCATTGCCGGCAATGGGGAAAAAGTCCCGATACGTCACACGACGTCACATGACATCGCGAGTTTGACATGCCTGGTCTAGGCAATATAGAAAGCCCTAATTCTTTATTCTACTCATCTCTTACTATTTTCATGTTAAATTGATTTATTGATAACAAATATAAACTAATGTGTAAACTAATGATAGGTTTTTAGTTTTAAAAGATTTAATCAATTATTCTAGTATTTTGTGTGTCTGAGAAATTGAAAACGCTGCTGGTCCATACAATGCTGTTAACGTAGCTATAATATTTTACATCTAATAGATATTTGTCTCTTAGCTCAGTATATATTAAAATTCATCTGTATCATGTTTCTAAAGTAAAGTATTAATTTTCATCTAAGTATGAATTTCTGGAGGAAGACTGATTGATTATAATGCTATATGAGTGAGCAGCAGTGAACCGTAGATTTGCAAAATCAAAATCATATGCAGCCATAACCTAAACAAAATGGGTTGCACTAACTTAATATGCACGTTTTTTTTTTCAGTAAGTTCAGTGAGTTCCGTTCTATTCAGTTAAATTCAAGATGTAAATGCAAATCAGGACCGCTTAAGGTATCTGATTGCTAAAGCTAAATTTGGCTGTTAGTAATTTGAATTTTCATAACTAAATTTGTAATAATGAAGTAAACGCTTTGAGTTGCAATTTATCCCACTTTACCTTGAATTGAATCCAAATCTATATGTTATCCAGTACAGCACTCTACCTTTCAGTTGCTATTCTGAATAAATTGTTTACCAAATACAACAGAAAAAAATCTGCTAATTAGTTTGTTTTGCGAGGTAATTCTGGGGAATGCTGTATATATTTATTAATACAAGTAATATTTCAGTCATGTTTAAAGGATTACAAGGGATTAATTTTCATCACCTAGCAATGGGTATTATTATGGTTAAAATTGAAACAGACAAGAATAATTACAATTTTCTTTTCTTAAACTAGTCAAACACCACCTGCAACCTGGATGAGTGGATTTGTTGCTCAGCCTGCCCAGGGACAAGCTGCTCCGGTAATACCTAATCAGGCTGGCTATGGTATGGCAAGTTACCAAACACAGTGAGCTAGAACTCTGCTTAGAAGTGTGATTTCAAGACAGGTTTCATTTTCCAGTGATTTTTCTGAAGCCTGAAATACAGACACTGGGGAGACGAGGGAAAGGAGGCAAAAGGGGAGGGGGCCAAGAGAGAGAGAGAAAGAAAAAAATATTTATTTTGAAGAATGAAAATGTTTGGACCTTTAACACAGCATTTGCTTTGATGAAGGACACAAATATCTTCAATTTATGCCTTTTTAAGTTTTGTTCATGATGGATATGAACAGGTTTTCTTTATGTACAAAATTTAAAATAAAGTCATTGAAAACAATTCTGACTGCACAATTTGATATGTTGGGAAGAAATGTTTAACATTGTGGTTCCATTTTCTTTTGTCTTCAGCATTTTATAATAGCTTTTGGGGAAAAAACATTAAATATGCTTTTAATTGAAAATTAAATCCTGATGTTTTTCTGTGGACCAAAGATTGCATCAAAAGCAACAATATATCCTTCATTAATTTCAGAGCCATCATTCAGAACAAATATTCATGGAAATATTTTTTAATTAATTTTGAAATATTTGAAGAAACTTAAATCTGGTGTAAATATTTTGGTTTGGTCTGATAAACATTGTTATACTGTAGTACTATCTGATATTTCTGTTCACATCCAGAAGAAAATTAATAGCTTTTCAAATTTAATTTACTTAAAGCACAGATTTGCTTTTAATTTAGAGGTCCTTTTTAATTTGCCCCTTTACATTACTGCTTGCAGTGTTCAGTATGCTCAAAAATAGAAGTAGTAATTTTATAAGAAAATGATTTCATTCTGCTGCTTTTCTGCAGTGAAGTAAAATAAATGAACCATATACTTTCAAAACTAGCTACTACATAGAGTGAAAAAAATATTCAAAAAGCCTTATTTTTAAATTGATAATTCCTTTTATCAACAGAAAACAGATTATTTTACTTTATGCTACTTACAGTGTAAATAATGAGGCTACTTTAAGTACCTGAATGTTTTAAAAATGACAGGTTTTTTTAAAAAATGTAGGAATATTTAACCAAAATATTTTTAATTAAATTGAGGAATTTCTAAAGTAAGGCATTTTAATAATGTCATATATATTTAACAGAACTGCATTTAGAATAATGAACAATTTGAAGTATGAATTAAGTGTATTTGTTTTTTAGTTATTTTGGCTTGCATTTCACAATTTTGTACTGAAGCTAGGTTGATTGTGGATTAAATGTTATTCGGATAAATCATGAGTTGGTAAAATGTTACATAGGGTTACTTTTTACTTTGTGGATACACTGATACATAAATTTTAAGTTGAGAGTGAATGCAAGATATGTTACACAGTAATCTGTGACAGCTAGGTAGTACAAATGACTCATCTTTGAATTTGAACACTGAGATGAACAATATGTGCCATTAATAGAAAGAGATTTGCAGTTTGGTGGACTCTAGACCAAAATATGTATGAGTATATATGTTTGGTTAATTTCTGAGTAGAAAAGTGTTGTTTAATACATCACTATTAAATATATACTACATTACAGACCTAGCAGATGGTGAAAAAAAGGTTTATTCCAAGTGGGGAAGGGTTGGTTAAACTAATATCCCTTTCTTTTTGAATAATTGATCATTATTACCACAGATGTTTTTGCTATGTGCAATTTATTAATCTATACTTTGGCTAAAATATTTTTAGGAGTTTTGAATTTCTATATTTGTTTTGAGGCTAGGAAGATTAAAATAATATTCATGAACAGCCTGCTAAGTCTGTATTATGATCTTTGGCAATTTTAACCAAATAAATCTTTTGGTATGCTTAAAGTGTTAACAATATTTTGTTTCAGACTGAGGACAAGCCGATCTTTTCCAAGTTGGTTAGTTTCCCAATTGAACAAAACTTAATATGGCTTGAGTGTTGTGCATAAAACATAATTCTAATAGTTTGATTTCTATATGATATGGGAACAGTGGAAGCCTGGAACAAGATAACCATCACTTTTCAGTTGAGGACCCCCATTCTGATTAATTTCTGCTCCCCAACATATAACAAAGTTGGTTGAAGAGTATTTTTTAAAGAAGAGTTTAAATCAACCAACAATTTAGGATAAGTTGTTTTTGTTCTGTCAAGCCCAGCAAAAGATATAGTCCAGACCACAATCTGACAAGACTATAGACAAAGCACCAGCAGTTATTTATACAAGCAGAGTGGAAAGCAGAGTTTAGAGCAAATTGTGATAGGACTGCAGCTTTGCATGACAAGCTTCATGCTTGTATCACCATCAGAACTCACTTGTGCTCTTCCTGAAGAAGCCAACATTAAATTCAGTTGCTGCTATAAAGTACAATACTAATCCCAAATAAATGTAAAACAAAAAATTGTACTTGTCTCAAAAATTTCCAGATTTTTTGAATATGGTTTAAAATGTGGCTGTTTTATTGTTGATTTTCAACAAAAGTTTTAATTTTAGATGCCAGCTTTTATTTTTTTAGAGATTAACATAATTATATTAAATGTTAAGTATATTTAATTTCAGTTGAATTTAATTTTATTCATGGAGGAATGAATATTCATGGAGGAATCATAATTCATTTTTTTATAAGGTCATCGCATCATAGATTTTGAGGATGTTTGACTTAAGTACTAAAAAGTAATTTTTCTTTCAAATTCACTTTGACTCCTTTCAAGATCCTTTTCAAGACCAATCAAGTTCAGCTTAATTCTGTCAAAACAGCAACAAAAAAACAAAGCACCAGACATACAAACATTCATCATTTTTTATTTTTTCATAGGATTTTTTTTTTTTTTTGGCTATCAGGCAAGAAACTAGCCAAACTTACATGGACAATAAATACACCATCATCAGTGGGCTATCTTTTTTAGGTATCTCAGAGTCATTTGTCATCCTAAATGCCAAAGCAAAAGTGGCTCAGATGTTATGTATTGCCTGGATTTTTGCCTATTAGAACTTTTGACCCTCAGAAATGAGTTGGTCTAAACTTTTTTTGTTCATCTTTGTATATGGCAGGCATCAATAGATTTGGAGTCTGGTTTGGACAAAATTGAATTCCCAGCTAGGATTTATTAATTGCCTAAACCAAATTGATTTTTCCAGGCTCTCTGATAGATATGTACCAGCAGATAATTTTTACATTGATATAATTTGATTTTTTTTTATTTTGTTTGAGTAAATATTCTGTTTACTAAGCACATGCGTCAGTGAAGACTTCATAATGATGAAATGATACAATGTGTTTTCCTTCGTCAATCCTACTGTAGAGATCTTTTATTGGTATCTCTTTGTTTGTAAAAAATACATTTGGCAAATTGTATGTGTATATTATCTGATCAAATTCAGCAATCTCTGATAGAGTGGCATCTTCAGTTATTGAAACTCAACTGAGTGATTTTGACCAGTCTTTCTCAACCCAACTTACCTCACAGGATTATTGTTGGGAGAAATTGGAGAAGGAAGTACTAAGCACACACCAACTTAAGATCCTGATGACAGATGGAATATGAATAAAATAAATGAAAAAATATATGTTACATTATATAAATACAAGCTTCTATCCCAGGGGTAGGCAACCCAAAATACTCAAAGAGCCACTTGGACCCGTTTCCCACTGAAAACAAAACACAGGGAGCCGCAAAACCCTTTGAATATCTAAAATGAAGATAAGACTGCATATATCCATATATATATATATGGATATATGCAGTCTTATCTTCATTTTAGATGTCAAAAGGATCTCTCTCTCCCTCCCTCCCTCCCTCCCTCCCTCTTTCTGCCCTTGTTCTGCTAGTCTTCTTCCCTGTGTGTGTGTGTGTGTGTGTGTGTGTGTGTGTGTGAGGCACTTGCACTTCCCCCTCTTTCTTTCTTTCTTCTCTCCCTTTCCTCTCCTTCCCTTTCTGTTTCCTCTTTCTTCTCCCTTTCTCTTTCCTCTTTCTCCCTCTTTCCTTTTTCTATTTACTCTCTCCTCCTTTCCTCTCCCTTTCTCTTTCCTTCCTCTCTTTCTCCCTTTCTTTCCTTTCTCCCTCTCCTCTTTCCTTTCCTCTTTCCTTTCTTTCCTCTCTCTTTTTTCCTTTCTCCCTCTTTCTCCCTTTCTATTTCTTTTTTCTCTCTCCCTCTCCCTCCCCTTATTTCATCTCCCTTTCTCTTTTCTTTCTCCCTCTTTCCTCTTTCCTTTCTCTTTCCTCTCCCTTTCTCTTTTCTTCCTCTTTCCTCTCTTTCTATTTCTTTCCTCTCTCCTCCTCTCCCTTTCTTTCATCTTCCTTTCTCTTTCTCCCTCTTTCTTTCCTCTCTCCCCTCCCTCTTTCTTTCCTCTCCCTTTCTTTTCTCTTTCTTCTTTTCCTTTCTCCCTTTCTTTCCTGTCTCCCTCTTTCTATTTCTTTCCTCTCTCTCCCCCTCTCCCTCACCTTCTTTCATCTCCCTTTCTCTTTTCTCTTTCTCCCTCTTTCCTTTCCTCTCTTTCCTCTCTCTCCCCCTCTCCCTTTCTCTTTTCTTCCTTTCTTTCCTTTCTCCCTTTCTATTTCTTTCCTCTCTCCCCCCTCTCCCTTTCTTTCATCTCCCTTTCTCTTTTCTTTCTCGCTTTCTTTCCTCTTTCCTTTCTTTCCCCTCTCCTCCCTCCCTCTTTCTCTTTCCCCTCCCTCTTTCCTCTCTCCCTTTCCTCTTTCTTCTCCCTTTCTCTTTCCTCTTTCTCCCTCTTTCCTCTCTTTCCTCTCTCCCCCTTTCCTCTCCCTCTCCCTTTCGTTCCTTTCCTTCCTCTTTCTCCCTTTCTATCCTTTCTCTCCTCTTTCCTTTTTCTTTCCTTTCCTCTCTTTCTCCCTTTCTCTTTCCTTTCTTTCCTCTCTCCCCTCTCCCTTTCTCCCCTCTTTCCTTTCTCTCTTTCCTTTCTTTCCTCTTTCTCCCTTTCCTCCCTTTCTCCCTCTTTCTATTTCTTTCCTCTCTCTCCCCCTCTCCCTTTCTTTCATCTCCCTTTCTCTTTTCTCTTTCTTCCTCTTTCTCTTTCTTTCCTTTCTCCCTTTCCTCTTTCCTTTCTTTCCTCTTTCTCTTTCCTCTCTCTCCCCCTCTCCCTTCCTCTTTTCTCTCCCTCTTTCTTCTCTCCCTTTCTTTCGTCTACCTCCCTTTCTCTTTCCTCTTTCTTCTCCCTTTCTCTTTCCTCTCTTTCTCCCTCTTTCTCTTTCTTTCCTTTTTCTCTCCTCTCTCTCCTCTCCCTCTCTTTCTTCCTCTTTCCTCTTTCTTTCCTCCCTCTTTCCTCTCTCTCTCCCTCTCTTTTTCTCTTCACCTCCCCCCCTTTACTAACAGAA